TTCAAACATTATCTTGTGAAAAGCTATTTTGTTCACCCGGGAACTATCAAGAAAATTAATAACACGAAATCGTATACTTCATATTTCTTATGGCAATGACTATTAATATATTCGTGAATATCCATTTTGCGAATAATCCTAACATATGCTGAATAACGAAATCATGTCTGATGGTCTAAGACAGTGTTTCCCAAACTTTTTCGGTTGCGATCCTTTAGACTGTCTTAGCCTGGGCTAGCGACCCTAGATGTGTGAACAAGTAATATATCCAACCGTTTTCATGGTAGTTAGACTTGCAGATATATATTAGCTTACGTTATTCTTTACTTTCATAGGTTTATATTACCAACATACTGAATTTCAATAAAGTGTTAATAGAAAACATTAATTTTTACTGAGATATTCAGCTATAGATTCTTTTGTTGTTCTTTTAAGGCCCTCTGGCGACCTATAGAAAAACCCTGGTGACCTTCACTTGGGGCGCGACCATGGTCTAAGACATCATTTTGACATGTGAAATCCAAAGTGAAAACGAGGCTGCCGAGCTGATACCCATTTCAGAGTGGACGCAAGGCAGCCTGAAATCCGAAATAGATGTGGTGAAAGAAAGTAATTTCTCTAACACCGATATATTCAAGGTAGATAAGATGAGAGGATGAGAGCACCCATAAGATTCATGAAGACCTATAGCTCCTCATAGCAGGCAGCACGGTGAAGAGAACGACTACATCTAGATGGAATAAATCACAGAACGTCATCAAAGAAAGGTTGAACAAACGACATTGCTAGCGTCTCCTGGGGGTTTATCTTCCTCAACGATGTTGGCGAAACAGGAGGGAAATGCCTCTTAGACTAATATATCGAATTGTCAGGAAATCAGTACGCTGCTATGCCATAGCCCATGCCAGAAATAATCATATTTGTGCAGGATAAGTGCCCTATACACACGTCTAAGGCAGGTACGAAGTGGTTCTATGACTAAAACCATTTGGAGGTCTTTCGATGGTCAAGCAAGGTATGTGACTCAATCCCGACGAAAATGTTTGGACAAATATTGTCAATGTTTGCGAAACGACCAATAAAATAACCCCTCGACAGCTAACAGACTATGCTATGAGGATTATAGGAAGTGTTAAGATGGAAAGCGAGACGTTACATGATCAATACATTGTTCTTATCTTATGCACGACTAGCCCCAGTATTTATCTTCTTTTTCTACAGCTATAACTATTTACTTTTAAAATAAACCATAGTAAAAATATCTCTAAAATTGATTAACATTCACAATTATTCGATTCACTGAAACCCCCCACCCTCTCCGAAAAAAAAGAAGAAAAAGAAATAAACACAGGTATATGTATATTAGCTGTCAATTACATGCAATGGTATTTTGCGCAAGGGGTTCAAAATGTGTACGAAATATAAAACTAAAGATTGTAAATAAACGCACACTGATGAGGCATCCGTGTATTAACATTAACCTTGCCACGGTTTTACTTTCGGTTATTATTCTAAAATGAGTATAAAGTAACACATTTTCCGTTTATTAAATCTATGTTTGGATTTGACGAATAAAAATATAAGAGTCACTTTATTAGTTCACATTCATATCAAGATCATATACAAGAACAGCGATTTTGTGATAAAAGACAAGTATGCTAATTTTATTTACACATACGCATAAAAAGTGAACAGCGTTTATTAACAAAACGAAGGAAAATAATGACAGCATAAATGACATATAAAAGTAGAAAAACAGAACGAAAAAATCCATGTTACAATTTCGTCTAATAACAAGAAATGATTTAATTGTTTTTAAATGTTACCATAAGATATTCTGTTTTTACTTTTGATAATAAATTATATACTCAGATGGCGTTGCTATGGGTTCAGAACTTGGGCCAAGTTATACAAACGCTTTCCTATGCCGCCATGAATGTATTTGGTTAGATAATTGCCCTAATTAAACAATTCCTGTCATACCTGAATGAACATCCATACATTACGTTTACGTGTGAAATAGCAAAGGAAAATTAACTTCCTTTTCTTGACACAAATATCTCCCCCCCCCAAAAAAAAAAAAAAAAAAAAAAAAAACGGACACCTTTCTACTCCAGTTTACAGAAAACATATGTTAAATGCTCTAATCAACAGAGCATTTAACATATGCTCCACCTGGATGCAATTTGACAATAAAATGAATTTCCTTATTGATTATTTCAATAACAATTGTGTCCACCCACGGAAATGCAAACCAAGTACATAACATTCCTGTACTGCGGATATGTAAGCTTCACCATCCGTAAACAATTACGTGACATACTAAAACATCGTTCCCACGGATCAAATTCACTATTGTTTTGGTTAATATTTCTTTAAAAAGAGGATTCCTATGCCTCAAATGTTCAAATATCGTTTAAGTGATAGTCACATCATACATTTGGTGCCAGAGTGATTACGTCTTTAGTTCGTTTTTTCCGCCTTGGCCGTAGCTGTTGAT